AAATTCTCCCGAATGTATTCATTTCAAACTTGTCTTGTCACTCATCCATCTTAGTGTCATCATTTCAGTTACACATATACTTATGGGTATGTTATTTATCGATTGTCCAATATTCCATCTCATAAAACAAAATTGGTTTTACAATTTACGTATAAAACTTGTCCTTCAACTTCATTGGTATGTGGTCATCACATAAAAGTCCGGGTGCACATCTCCAATTCGCCGACTCAGCTCTAATTCTATTTGCAACATATTTTTTAATATATCTTATTTTCCTGAATTATTGACCCAAAATATTGAAAATACTTTCTTTTTTATATTTCTTGACCGTCAATCTTAACTACTTCCTCATTTTTACTGCTATTATTATTAAATTTGTATTCTATATCCTATGTTTTCATCCGACTAATTTTAAGACCTTCAGATTCTAGAGCATCCCTCCAAAGTTCTAACTTTATGTTGATGTTATTTCGGGACTCATCGATCAAAACTATGTCATCTGCGAACAACATACATCACGGCAGCTCATCTTGTAAGTGCTTAGTAAGTTGTCTATAATTAAAACAAAGAGGTATGAGTTCAACACTAACGCCTGATATAGACCGATTGTCACTAAAGACTCAATTATCTCTCCACTAGTTATTCGCACACTAGTTTCCATAAATCCTGAATTAGCACACCCCCTATTTGTTTGAAAAGAATGATGGAGACCAACCATTGCATGAACATGACAAATTGTATGGAGACATGTCCATACATGGTTCATCTCCTCCATCCATTTTCTAATGGTTGGCGGATGCGCCAATTGTGTATCTAACAACATAAAAATCTTACAGCCCTTGTAAACAAGTTTTTTCTCAAATAGAGAAGGGTATAAGCTTGGCTAATGCACTTCAATAGATCACAACTTTAATTGTTATTAAGCATAAACTACTTGGTTGCGTCAACATCTAGTCACATTTCATCTAGGGGTATTTTCTATAAGGCTGTACTTAGCATACGGATGCGTCCGTTGTAAAGGTAAGGTGCACCTTCAAAATTTATCATAGTATATAATTTTGATGTAAAATGTTCCTAAGATTATCTCAAAATTTATTTTTATATATAATTATAAATTTTAAATTTTAAAAATAGTTAAAATCAAGTAGATCTATAAACATATGAAAATCTTGAAAATGGACCGTGTAGATAATATGTTGTAAAATGCACTGAAACTTAAAATCTATTTATTTTTCATGGTCATGCATCTCGATTTCGAAATGGTCAGTCAAAGGGTTTTTCAACATTAAAACTACCTTTTTTCATGGATTTTTGAGTTGCAGCCGTAGTTATACATATAAGGTTGCAACCTTATATAAGCTTTTTCCTTTTTATAAAGACAAAACAATGAGAGATGCATAGTTTACGAAATAAATATTGGGCACGTGAATTGAACTATGCATGTAAAACCTCTTTTTTTAAAAAAATAAAAATAAAATATTAGGGTATATTGAAGTAAAGGTACTTGAGGTACTAGATTTTCAAGGTCAGCTGTAATATACTAGTGTTTCGAGTCTTTTGGACACGCACATTTATTTATTTTTTAACTTTAACTAAAGCTTCGTTGAGGAAATGCGATAGTATAGGTAAAAAACAAACAAAAGGTTAAAAAGAAAATGACAGCCACATAAAAGCAAAAGTAGGGGTGGCAATAGGCCGTAGGCCTGACCCTAAAAACTAGGGTCCGTGCCGGCCTGAGGGCTAAGCTAGGGATAGGTCATCGGGTCCTGAGGGCCGGGCTGGACCAGGTCCACGACAAGCCCAACTTGGTTTGGGCGGAATTGGCCTTCTTTTTTTTTTATTTTTCTTTGATTTATTTATTTTTTTATCTAGCTCAGCCTGGACAAGCTTGATCCTGATATGGCTAGGGCCAGGCCTAGGTCGACCTTACGGGCACCAAGGCTGGGCTAGAGCCAAATTCAACCACCCAAGCCCAAGCCCCGCCTGTTTGCCAACCCCAAGCAAAAGAGAAGCAAATAGGGAAGATGTAGATTGAGCATGAGTTTTTTTGTTTAAAAAGACCAGAAAATATTTCATATGCAATTTTTTCCTTTTTGGGTTACATCTTTTTTAGTTCCTAAAAGTACTTTTATATAAGATTTTATGTTAAACAAAGCATAAGGCAATAATATTGTTGTCAGATTCGCTTTTAGAGTCAAATTTGCTTCGTTTCGATCTAAGCCTAAAATCCGAAGGCTTCGGCAGAAGCGAAGAGAATCTAACAACATTAGGCGATACCATCCTGTGAAAAAAATATGACGCCTTTGTTTTCTTTCCCTATTTTTAAATAAAAAACTTTTATATTTGGTTTTTCGAGAGAAAGATCATTTAAGACATTCTATGTTTTTTAAGGCATAGGAAATGCGAGCTACTATTCCCACCCATTCCATTTGAGTGATTCAGTGGGCGATTGACTTGACTATGTTCTCCCTCTAAAACCCGTCTTTGAATTTGGGGGTTGGCCGGTGTTCGGAAACTTTGAAACCTCAGGCCAAAGAGGGAAAAACATTTCATGAAAATGGGACCAAATTGCTCTTCTTTTTGTGGTTTATTTTGTTAGAGAGAGTGGGGTAAGGATTTTCTTTGAAAGAGAACTTACAACAAAGGAAACATCTTTCTAATTAATTAGAACGATTTGTCACCTACTCTCTTTCCAGCTTTACCATTGCTTTTCACCTTTCAATTTTTTTTTTTTATCTCAAAAGCAGAGAAATTATTATTATTATTATTATTTTATTATTAGTTTTTTTTTAGTTTATTGTTTTAGCTGAGGATTAGGTAGGCATAAGTTGTGCGTGAATGGATGCTGATAAGGTTAAATTTAAAAATTAAATAGGATAAAGTTAAATTTAGAAATTAAATAGGATAAGGTGAAATTTAAAGGGAGTTTTAAGGTGAAATTTAAATGGAGTTTTATCTTTTCAACAATAGGCATGCTTTTAGGATTTGGATAAAATGTCAAAAATCTTTTTTTTTGGTACGTGATGGTTAAAGAAAGAAGATAGAGATAATGAAAAAAATAGGTTAAAGGAGATAAAATGGGAAAGTGAGTTGTTTATCTTTGCTTTAGTCTATTTAAAGGGATATCTCCCTTCATTGTAAATTAGTGAATGAATTAATAAAATTTCGTTAGATTATTTTGGGGTGGATTTTTTTGTAGACCTTGAGATAAGGTATATTC